AAAGCCTTGAGTTTGCTGCTGTCAGAGTTGTAGAAGAACGTTTCCACGAAGCCTGAGACCTGTGTCACGTGTTCCCTGGGTGGCACTTCCTAAAAAGAGGAAAATGCATGGAATTTTCAAATTGCTCCAGCCCTTGCTGGGCTCAGGAGTTAAACTTTGTGTCCTTCAGGAGGTATATAAATAAACAAACATCATAAAGTGCTGTCTTGGAGCAGCTCAGAGGGAGTTTTAGACACCCAGGAGAAGGAGGGGCTTGCTGGGTTCCTCGGATTTAAGTTCTCCAGGTGCCAGGCTCTGGGAGCCCCTTCCAGCTTTGCCCTGTAGTCCTTAAAAATCTTATTTTTAAATTTGACCCTTGTCAAGCTCCTTCCTCTTCCAAGGATTGGGCTCTAAATTACAACCAGTTTGTTCCAGAACACACTGGTGAACATTTGGCTTCCAAAGAGGTGCCGAAACCGCTTTTTGTGAGGGAGGCAGAGGTGGTGTGGGAAGTGCCCGGGTTTGGGATTTTCTCTGGAAGCATTTCTTACTTGCAGCTTTTCATCTTTCTCATCATACAATTTAGTATTGCCCACCATGGGGATTTTTTGGTGGGTTTGCACCCATCTTTTGCATAGTGAGGACGCAGAGAGGTCTTTAAATTGACTCTTAAGTGCCCCGTTCCCCACCCTTCCCCCTGGAGCCGGGATCAATGGGGGGTTTGCAGACATAGCTTGAGTCACCAGCCTTTTGCTTTGCTTCCCGTGCTATTGGCCTGTCTGTACCATTTTTTTCAGAATTAATTTTGGGCTGAAAAAGTCTCAAAGAGCGCTTTGTTCCTCCTTGACACTCACTCCAGGGAGAAGGAGAAAAAAAAAAGAAAAAAAGAAAAGAAAAAGGGAAAAAACCGTGGAAAATCTGACATCTGCATTGTAGAGAAAAATCAATAGATAGGGAGGAATATAATTATCCCCCACTCCTGAAAGAATTTTGCAGATATTTTTTTGTAACAGTGACTCATATGGGCTCAGGGCTTGAATGACATTTTAATTATTTCAGCTTTTTTTTTTTTTCGGTTTGAATCACCCAAGTGCAGAGCTGGAAAGGGGCACAGTTGGGCAAAGGCCCCCTGGGAGTAGGGAAAGGCAGGAATTGGGGGGTGGGAGTCAAGCACTTCCCTCCCTCTGAGTGGTGTCGGAGCGGGAGTCGGGGGCTTGGTGGGCACTGGATCATCCCAGATCCGTGAGGGATCACCCCTGGATCCATGAATCGTCTGTGCTGGCATCAGGAAAATAAGGGAAAACAGTTTTATCTTCTTTGGAGAGGTTTTGCTCCTTCTGTGAAGCGTAAAAATCCTCGTGGAGTTGTCTGATGAATTTAAGGCACCTTCCCCTTGGGAGCCTTGGTGGTTGGTGTTTCCCAGGTCCAGGCAGGTGCTGCATCTCCATCCTCCCCCTGGGCCGTGCCCTGGAGGGAGCAGATGTGGAAAGGAAGGAGATATTGAGCCCATATTTCATGGTGGAGTTAATTTGATCCAGGGGGAACGTTCTGAAGCACAGGGGGATGTCCGAGCGTGAGGAGCACCCGGAGCCTCTGGACATTCCCAGGACAGAGATCCCACCCTTCCCCAGGCCAGGATTGTTTGGGACTCCAAACTGAGGAGGGCACCTTCTGACTGCCACAGGCTGGGCCTAAACCATCCACCCCCAGTGTCTTTGCAGCCTCCTTCCCATCAGGATGAATTCAATATTCCTGCTCGGAGCTGGATTCAAAGCAAGGCCAGGGAGGTGAAAGGGCAATTGCTGGTTCACTTGGCCACCTGTTTCCTTCCCTGTGGCTCATATTTAATTTGTGTTGCTGAATTCCTTCCCCTTCTGATATTCTGGAAGTCCCCTTGGCCACCCCCATGTGCAAACAGAGCTGGTGGTTTTGGGGTGCCTGGTTTTTCCTGGGGTTCTAAGTGTGTAAATATGCATTTGCAAAGGAAATGGAAAATAAACTTAAAAAGCCATTTTCATGCCCCCCCAACATGCACTTTTTAGTTTTGTCTGTTAGAGCTGATCATAAAAAGGGGAAAGTGTAAAAATGTTTTCAAAACTCCCCATCCCCTGCCCTTTAGCCTCCAAAATAAATGCAGATTTCAAGTTTTTAGCTACTGCTCTGCCAGCTCAAAACCAGGAAGAGACTTCCCAAATTTTTTTAGATGTAAAAAAAAAGGGAAAAGGAACTTTTTAAGTAATTTTAGAATTTAGAAAAGGAGAAACAGGTTAGTGTGCAGAATTTGCTGCAGCACATCTTTTCCATCTTTCCCAGATGATCCCATTGCTATGTGACAATATTAGGAGCGTTATGCCAAGGTGGAGTAATATCAGATCATTTCTTTCCTTCTTTTGTTTTCCATTTTATTTGTCCTTGTCATTCACTCCAAAAAATGGCAGCAGGAACCAAATAATTGGGTAAAAGCAGAGTCCATCCGAGTGTGGAGCATCCAGGTTTGTCAGGACCCATCCTGGTGGGACCATACCCAGGACCCCACAGCACCAGGATGAGAGGAAACAGCAGGTTTAGTTGGATGTGAGGAGAAAATTCCTTATGGAAAGGGCTGTCCAGCCCTGGCACAGCTTCTCAGGGCAGGGGTGGAGCCCCCATCCCTGGGGGTGTGGATGTGGCACTTGAGGACATGGTTTAGTGGTGCTGGTGGTTGTTGGACTTGGTGGTCTTGGAGATCTTTCCCAACCTGAGTGATTCCATGATTCTCCACAGCGGGATTATGGAGTGACCCACCACGTTCTCCATTCGTGGTCCCTCCTCAGCAGAGCTGAAGCCACAGAACAGGGAGATTTTCTGTGCACTTTGTGCTCTTGTTGCTTGGTCCAAATTCTTTGGAAAACTCCCGTGCCAGTGTGGAAGTTGGACCCAAGACAGCAGCAGGGTAACGAGGGCTTGAAACACCCCTGATTGTGGGAGTTTTCTGTGCAGAAAATCAGCTGTGGTATTAAGGGTTTTATAAGTGACTTCCCTGCTTGAAAACTTCATAGTAAACAAAATGTGATGAGCTGCCTTAGTGACTCATTGCAGGGAAGATTTGGATTTTCAGTGTACTTTGATTTAATTACCCCCTGTTGAATCCTAGAGCTTGGTAACAGCCTGGGCAGGCAGGAGGGAAGGTCATCGAGATAACTGGCCTGTTTTAATGTCCCAGCAATTCCTGCACAGAGCCTTCCTTAGCTCTGTCCTGCCCCTGCCAGGGCTGCCAGCTGAGGCACATCCTGGGAGATGCTATCAGTGGATCCTGTAACTTTAGGAGAGGTTGGAGGGCAGGACGAACCGGGGATGATTCGGGAGGGGAAGATGAAGCCGGGGGTGTTGACAGCGAGTGTGTCTTGTCCTGGCCCCTCCTGCTCCAGCCCTGCAGAGTGATGGGATCTGCTCAGTAACTCCCCCCCACCCTGCTTTCCCATCCCAAATCCTGTGTGGTATCACTGCATCCCTCTCCTGCCTGTGAGGAGTTATTAAACTTGGCTCTGTCCTCTCTCTTCCACACTCAGAAGCCCCGTGCTCTCAGATCAGTCAGACAGACATACAGCCCAAATACAGCCTGGGGGACTGGATATTTCAGGATATTTAAGAGGTCTGGATGGTGGTGGTGGGGGGAATTTTTAATGGGAATTTGGATTTTTTTTCTTGAGCCCTAAACCTGCTAAATTTAGTTCTATTCTGTAAGTTAAGACTTGTAGTGTGGGCAGGGAGGTGGGACCAGAGGAGCCCCTGTGGTCCCTTCTGAGGTTCTGTGACTTTGGGTGAAACCAATAGGCCAGGATGGGCCATAGTGCTGGAATTTCCTCCTCTGAGCTCTCAGATTTTAGCCATGAATCTCTCTTTGAAAACCTTCCCTGCTGTAAATGTAAAGCTTCAGGATGTTCCCAGTACAGCAATGGGTCCTTCCAGGAACTCCCTCTGTTTTTCTCCTGAGGGAGGCAGGAACATCATAATTAGGGGCAATGTCAGAGGTAGGCAAATACCCCCTAATTGTATGCAGATGATAGAGCTGGTTCAACCTTTTGACTAGTGAAGCTTTCCTCAATTTGGGATATTGTGATCCTAATCAGGGACCTTCCCCTACATCAAAGCTGAGCCCGCATCCCTTGGGGCTGGCAGGGCTTGATTGCAGGGCTTCCTGCTCATCCCTGCCCAGGTGTCCTTCCTGCTCTGGACCACTGATTCCTTTCTGCTCTTCATCTCTGAGGCAAAGAAATTTAATCCCAATATTACTGCCAGGCCTGGAATGGACCCAGTGGTTTGGAAACTTCCCCTCCTGTTGCCCTGAGATATCAGCGCACGGCCAGCTCGGATACCTGCTCGTTTCCTTGCCAACCTCTAACCTGAGGTGGAGCAGAGCTGTCATTAGTGCATCCATCTGTGTTTGGATCTGTCAGCTTCCTTCCCCTGCTCCTCTTTTGTTTCTCTAATTACTTTGATTGCATCTCTGTGGCCAGCTCAGGGCAGGCTGCGGGTCCCCATCCCGCTCTGTCGCTGTTCCCTTTTCCAGAGGCAGCAGAAGTGGCTCTGCCAGAGGGAAACCATTGGGTTTGGGTTTTTAAATAGTGGCTATGGCATTGGTTAGGGCTGCAGGGAACATTTATCTGTTACACAGAGTGACCCAGTGGCAGAGCCTGGATTTTCCTATTGCTGATATCCAGGGATTCTGCTGATCCTGGGAGCCCTGGGCTGCTCATACCTGCTCTGCAAAGGCTCAGGTGTAGGTAGAGCATCTTCCAGCACTCTTGAAGAGATGTGGTTCATTCCACAGGGGTTTGGGGTCAGATTTTCAGTAAAATGGCAGTGGAATGAGTCACATGCACCACGTTCCCTTGGGAACAACAGCTGGACCCGGAGTGAGGATGTGCCCTGGGTCTCCTTCAGCCTCTGCCATTACAGGCTGTAAGTTTAACCAGAGCATTTGGCATCTTGAGATACAAGATAAAATATTTCTGACTGTATTCTTGTCTTCTTTTCCCCAGGGGCTGATTAAAATCCGAGGAGATCGCTGCTGGAGAGAGTTAACGTGCATGGATTATCACTACGAGGTGAGTGATCTCTGCATAAAACCTCATTTCTCTTGCCTGCTTTACTTTGGTAAAACGATTTTCCCAAACCTTTCCTCTCCTGCCAGGCATTTCTCCATGTTTTCTTTCTTTATCCTAGCCTGCTGGCAGTGCAGGCAGTGTCCACGTGCCAGCTGGGTGATGCTGTTTTTCCCAACCACAGCCCTAAAAGACCAATTTCTCCCCTTCCCTCCCCTCCCCATCCCGGGTTCAGGAACAAACCTGAGCCTCACTGAGAACTTCACTGTCAAAAATACTGCAGGGGAGGGACAGAAAGGAGTCTTCTGTGGTGTTGTCCTGAGACCTTCCTGCTCCCACTCCCAAAATGTGGACATGTGCAGGCAGAAATGGAGCATCCCGGTGCTGCTGTCCAACATGCAGGGCAAAATCGTTGGCAGTTCAGAATTCCGTGGTTTTATCTTCCTGGCATCTGTTTCAGTGATTATGTTGTGTTCTGATTAGAGACTGTGGCTTGTTTTCTGGCTCTGATCTCGTCTCCTCTCTGGTTCCAGGGAAGCTCAGCTTCCCCTCCCTCTTCACCTTCAGCTTTGCATTTGTGTTTAATAGAAAGGGTGTTAAAATAGGAAATGCTGTGTATGGTGATGCTGCAGGGGTGAGGAGCCCTGCTTTGGTGAAGGAAACAATCCTGAAACAACACTCCCTTCTCTGGCTTCACGTCACAGCCACTGAGAGTGGCTCAGGATGTCACAACACCTCTGGTCTATAATCGAGGTTTGTCTGACATTTTGGAGCATAATTCCTGTTGGGGGCAGCTGAGGGAGCTGGGGGGGCTCAGCCTGGAGAAAAGGAGGCTCAGGGGGGACCTTCTGGCTCTACAACTCTCAGACAGGAGCGGGGAGCTGGGGATGGGCTGGGCTCTGCTCCCAGGGAACAGGGACAGGAGGAGAGGGAATGGCCTCCAGGCTGTGCCAGGGGAGGTTTAGATGTGATATCAAGAGAAATTTCTTTATGGAAAGGGTTGGAAGGGGCTGCCCAGGGCAGTGGTGGAGTCACCATCCCTGGAAATGTTTGGAAAACATGTGGATGTGGCACTTGAAGGACTGTGTTTAGTGGTGACCGTGGTGCCCGGTCCCTGTGGTGTCCTGATCCTGTGTCCGTGTTAACGTGGGGCTGGTTGATGGTTGGACTGGATGATCTTAGAGGGCTTTTCCAGCTTTAATGGTTCTATGAAATGGAGTTTTGCAGGTCTAAAAAGCTCCATCTGCCTTTTCAGCTGCAATGCTCCTTTTTTTGTTGTTCCCATCAGTGACTTTCCTGGGGTTTCCCCCACTCAGTGCAGGGCTGACCTCATCCAAAGGCTGCTGCTCCCTTGGCTCTTGCAGGACATCAGTGGTCCAACTCTATTCCCAGTAAAACTGTGGATGGAAAGACCCTTCAGTGCTGTCATTCTTTATCCTGGACATGAAGGTGGCTGCAGTAAATTCCCCATTTTTGCTGGGCACCTGGCAGCACTCTGGGAAAATGCAGCTCCAAGCCAGCCCCCGGCAGCCCCTGCTGACCCCAACCCACAACAATCAGGCTGCACAATCCCAAACCTCTCAAATCAAAACCAGGACCAGTTCTGGAGCCCAGAAGGCTAATTAAGACCATTCCTGTCCTATCCATAAGGCAGGATCCCCAGCCTGTGCAAGTAATTGGGAACAGGGGCAGGGGGCAGAGCACGTTATCAATATCAATTATTTTAATCCGCACAAAAGAAGCTGCAATAAAAGGAAAATGAAAGGGGCCAAGCTTTGTCTACCAGCAATAATATAACAAAAAATAACAAAGGGCTGCGATTCACCTGCTGACTCCAACCAGCCAGAGGGAGGAAGAAAAGGGCGAAGCTGGAGATACCTCAGGGAGGGAGGAAGGGAGTTGGGAATCTGCTCGTAATTAGGATGATAAAACGGGATACTGGACTAGCTCGAGGTGGACTCGGGCCAGATGAGTGCTGTGATGTATGTTGGCCACCCCAGCTGTGCTGCTCCAGCCCTGAGCTGCAGTCCAAAACCTCGCTGGGCTCCTGTGCCAAGAGCTCTGATGCAAACACGTGGCCCCCTCCCTGCGTGGGCAGCACCAGCACGGGTGCTTTGCAGGAGGGCACTGGTGCAGGGTTTGCAGGCTGGAGCTGGAATTCTGCTTCCACTGGAGCATATGGAATGGATCCCACCTGCCAGGGAAGACAGGCAGCCCTGGTTCCCTGCTTGTGCAAGCAGGGGGGTGTGGCTGAGCGTGTCCCCTGTCCCTGCCTGCTCCAGAGGGATCATTCCCAGAGCCCATCAGCTCTGTCCCACAGCCAGGTTCCCACATGCACCAGTGAAAAGTCTGCCTTGGAAGGTTTTGAGCCACTCCAGGCCGTTTCTGGAGCCTGCACAGCTTGCAGGACATCTCCCAGGCGTGGGCTGGAGTGTTAACAGGCCCCAGGTCTGTGAGCCAGGGGTGGGATCAGGGAGCACCACCTGGCTCCCCAGGGGCCTCCCCATCCCTCCTGGGCCAGGCTTTGTCTGGCCCCAGCCTGGCTAATTCTGGGAGTGCTGCTTGGCTGGCACAGGCACAGTGTCTTAACATGCTCCAAATGGAGCAAATCCTCTTGTGTTTTAACCCCCCCCACCCCAGCCCTGCAGATCCCAGACCCTTCGGAGCACCTTGAGACCAGATGTCCTGGCACGGGGCAGGTTTGAGTGCCACAGGCAGGAGCAGATGAGCATTTTGGAGCCACAGCCATCCCAAAGGGAGCCAGTGGGTTCTTGGACCCTGGTGGTGTTTTTGGTTCAGCAGATAATCAGAGTGGTTCAGAAGGTCCTGCGTGGGCACATCCACCCCGTCCCGCCGTGTTCCCCCACAGAAACGCTCCTGGTGGGATGCAGTCCAGGGATGCATTTTTCTGATGGCTGCCAAAGTGCTGTTGCTTTTTAATTACAGGGAGATATCTTGTAAGGCTCAGCCACCAACTGGTCAGGACAGCTGCAGAAGCAGCTGCTGGGGCTGGAGCCCCGCTGGGCAGGGACTGCTCTGCCAGCTCGGCACCAAAACCACTCCAGAGCTGCTGGACACATCCAGGGTCCCTCCTGTGGGACACCCATGGCCTGTCCTCTGAGGAAAGGAGAGACATGGAGGGGCTGGAGCCTGGTGGAATGTCCTGGGCACTTGTGAGGGACACCTCAAATCCAGTTCCAGGCCCCTCAATTCAGGACAGACATTGAGGGGTCCAGGGAAGGGAACAGAGCTGGGAAGGGGCTGGAGCAGCTGGGGGGGCTCAGCCTGGAGAAAAGGAGGCTCAGGGGGGACCTTCTGGCTCTGCAATCCCTGACAGGAGGGGGAGCTGGGGGGGTCGGGCTCTGCTCCCAGGGAACAGGGACAGGAGGAGAGGGAACGGCCTCCAGCTGTGCCAGGGGAGGGGCAGGTTGGATATTGGGAACAATTTTTTTTGTGGAAGGGCTGTCCAGCCCTGGCACAGCTGCCCAGGGCAGTGGTGGAGTCCCCATCCCTGGAAGTGTTCCAGGCATGTGTGGATGTGGCACTTGGGGACACTGGTTAGTGGTGAACATGGGGATGGTTGGTCTCGATGATCTTAATGAAAAGGCTTTTCCAACCTTAATGATTTCTGAGGATGGAAGCAGGAAAGTTTGCAGGGCTTTGCTGAACCAATTTCTGCTCAGTCTGAGCCCCATTTTGACCCCAAATGTGTCGGTGCTGCCGAGAAAAGCTTTGCCCTGGCCCAGGACTCTGCACAGCCACAGAGGTCACCCCTGGCTTGGACAAATTGTCACTAATTATTGTGTGAGTGTTCTTCCCAGGGAGGGGCTGTCAGTCAGTGCTCGGGCTCCTGGAGCAGATCCCCAGTTCCTGGAGAAGCTCTCCAGAGCACAATGTCTTTTGTGCCTAATTATGGGCTTGCTGACTGATAACTGTGCTGATAAGGAGGAGAAGGGAGCTCAAACTGCTCCTTAACTGCCTCTTCAGTTCTTTTCTTCCCCTTCTCTTCCCTGTTTAGACCTCATTAAGCTTTTCATCCAGCTTTTGCCAACCCATCACGGCACAAAAAGTAAATAACATCCAGCAATTCGTTTCGATAAATCAGAAAATGAGCTGCTTTCATGAGCCCTGAGGCTCAGGATGGGCTTTATTCCAAGAGTTTGCATTGCTGGAAGGAAAAATGTTCCTAGCAGGGAAGCAGGTGCTCGGATTTTGTGCTGAAAATTCTTAAGTTACAAATGAATACGAGGGAAGTGGTGCTGAATTACACAGAAAGCAGAAATAATTAAAAGAAGCAACCATGCAGGGCATTTTGAGGATCTTCTTGTTAATAACATTAATACTAACAATAACAACATTATAAAATATTTATGGAGCATCCTAAGTGTACAATCCCTGGCCCTTCATGGAATTTTCTCCCATCTGAAGGCATTAAAGGTGAATCCTGGCAGGGCTGATGGTCACAGTGATGAATTATTGAGGGCAATAAAAATGTGCTTTCTTTTCATCTCCTGGTGCAAAACCAAGCTGTTCTGTGAGCTGAGGTGACTGATACCACAGGGAAGAACATGCTTGTGTTCAGCTGCTATTTTTCTGTCCTTTCCATTTGGTCACAGGTTTTGAGAAGTGACCTTTTCTGAGGCATAATTGAAAAACCACTCGTCCTTGTTGACACGTCTCGAAGGGCTGCTTGGAGGGGGATTTGAGGCTGAGGATTAGGGGCTTTCTGCTGGGTTTTGGGGAGCTACATGATGTCAGTGGGAAGAAGGGCCAAGGCCTGACCTTGCCTGTGATCAATTAGGTAACAAGATCCATCGTGAGGCAAGAGCTTGGAGCAGCAATATTGGCAGATAAGTGTCAGCAGGACATCAAAAGCTTATTATGCTGGATCTGGAGTTTGGATCAGGCTGCTGCAAAGAAGGGCTGGATCTGAGGCAGGTTTTCAGATGAATCCCAGGTCTCTGTGTTGGATGCAAGGGACCTTGGAATGCAGTTTGCCAGAG